TTTCACGATGGTAAGGCTATAGTAAAAAAAAAAACCTGAAAATTTAAACATTTTGTTGTCAAACCTAATGAATTTTTTGTGTTTTTCTTGACTTTTTCATGAGAAACATCAATGAGCCATTTGGGAATCGAAAGACTCGAATTTTTGTTGCAAAAGTCATTTAGGTTAGACCCACCTGTGTCGCTGTGACTTGGGCTGTCGGGGGTCTCCTCTGAGGAGGTTTGGCTCTGTTTGCTGTAGGATGACTTAGTTTCTCTGTCTGTACATCTACTCCGTCAAACTGGTCTCCTTCAATCTCCTCCACTTGTTTTGGTGAAAGCGGAGCCACATCACCATTGGTTCTACTGGGAAAAAAATAAATCTATTGGTCCGTTACTATTTCCACAGTAGAAAAACATGCAGATAAAAGTTGATTAATGTCTCTAAATTGACTAAAGGTGTGATTATGTGTGTGAATGGTTTGGTTGAAATGGAATAGATACATTGTTTTTATTTATAAGCTAACTGAAGTTAAACTAGACATTTTTTTTACCATTAGGGTGCCCTGCCAAAAATATTTGTATGTTTAAATTAGATGTAACTTCGACATAATCAAATATCTTCTATTTTGAGAAACTAAATTGTTTCTCATTAACTTTGCTTTGCCTATTTTGTAAAAAAAAAATCCCCCAAAAAAGTTGCTCTCTGTAAGTATGTCTAACGACAGGGCATTTGTTTTTCAGTCAAAGTCATGAATGTTTTGGTCTGGTTTTTTTTTTTTGCACACGCATTTTTGTGTGTTTTTCAGGAAACAGGAAATGGGCTGCTCTCTGTAGCAATCTGACTCATCCCAGAGTTTCCACTGGCCCAGACGTTAAAGGTCTGCCATCCTGGCCTTCTACTTTAAGGACACCATGGAAACTGGAATGAGCAACAGAAACTCACCATAAAAAGGGTGGCACTGTTGGTGCCAGACCAAAGAAGAGAAAGTCTACCTGGCATTTTCCAAAGGTTAAGGATGAATCACGATTTCTCCACAACCACTAAGCTGAAGAATACACTGTAGTCACACGGTTGTACTGTGTGTAGTGTGCCGGAGCTTAAAACACCCTCAGACACTGACTCTTGATGGCATATCCTCCTTGTAGTAGACTGTTAAATTTAATACACATTTTGTCAAATCTTGGCAGCATTACAATGTATTATGGACAGTATATGTATTGACCTCCAATTGACGTCCAAGTGACCTCCAAGTGACATAAAAGAAACCTCCAAGTGAGGTCCAAATGATGTCCAAGTGACCTCCAAGTGACATAAAAGCAACCTCCAAGTGACGTCCAACTGACATCCAAGTGACCTCCAAGTGACGTCTAAGTGACCTCCAACTGACCAGTTGGCATACCAAAAAAGTAATTTTTATTATTGCTATAGTGTTCTACTGTGATCAAAAGTTGGCTTCCCAAAAAAGTTGATTTTTTCTCAATTTTAACCACAGAAATGGACATAGCTAAGTATTTTAAGGCAAATGAGTGTATTTTTAGTCATTTTTGAGAAACTTTTTTTTTTGGAGATTTGTTCAGGAAATTATTGCTATAGTGTTCTACTGTGATCAAAAGTTGGCTTCCCAAAAAAGTTGATTTTTTCTCAATTTTAACCACAAAAATGGACATAGCTAAGTATTTTAAGGCAAATGAGTGTATTTTTAGTCATTTTTGAGAAACTTTTTTTTGGAGATTTGTTCAGGAAATTATTGCTATAGTGTTCTACTGTGATCAAAAGTTGGCTTCCCAAAAAAGTTGATTTTTTCTCAATTTTAACCACAAAAATGGACATAGCTAAGTATTTTAAGGCAAATGAGTGTATTTTTAGTCATTTTTGAGAAACTTTTTTTTGGAGATTTGTTCAGGAAATTATTGCTATAGTGTTCTACTGTGATCAAAAGTTGGCTTCCCAAAAAAGTTGATTTTTTCTCAATTTTAACCACAAAAATGGACATAGCTAAGTATTTTAAGGCAAATGAGTGTATTTTTAGTCATTTTTGAGAAACTTTTTTTTTTGGAGATTTGTTCAGGAAATTATTGCTATAGTGTTCTACTGTGATCAAAAGTTGGCTTCCCAAAAAAGTTGATTTTTTCTCAATTTTAACCACAAAAATGGACATAGCTAAGTATTTTAAGGCAAATGAGTGTATTTTTAGTCATTTTTGAGAAACTTTTTTTTTGGAGATTTGTTCAGGAAATTATTGCTACAGTGTTCTACTGTGATCAAAAGTTGGCTTCCCAAAAAAGTTGATTTTTTCTCAATTTTAACAACAGAAATGGACATAGCTAAGTATTTTAAGGCAAATGAGGGTATTTTTAGTCATTTTTGAGAAACTTTTTTTTTGGAGATTTGTTCAGGAAATTATTGCTATAGTGTTCTACTGTGATCAAAAGTTGGCTTCCCAAAAAAGTTGATTTTTTCTCAATTTTAACAACAGAAATGGACATAGCTAAGTATTTTAAGGCAAATGAGTGTATTTTTAGTCATTTTTGAGAAACTTTTTTTTGGAGATTTGTTCAGGAAATTATTGCTACAGTGTTCTACTGTGATCAAAAGTTGGCTTCCCAAAAAAGTTGATTTTTTCTCAATTTTAACCACAAAAATGGACATAGCTAAGTATTTTAAGGCAAATGAGTGTATTTTTAGTCATTTTTGAGAAACTTTTTTTTTGGAGATTTGTTCAGGAAATTATTGCTACAGTGTTCTACTGTGATCAAAAGTTGGCTTCCCAAAAAAGTTGATTTTTTCTCAATTTTAACCACAAAAATGGACATAGCTAAGTATTTTAAGGCAAATGAGGGTATTTTTAGTCATTTTTGAGAAACTTTTTTTTTGGAGATTTGTTCAGGAAATTATTGCTACAGTGTTCTACTGTGATCAAAAGTTGGCTTCCCAAAAAAGTTGATTTTTTCTCAATTTTAACCACAAAAATGGACATAGCTAAGTATTTTAAGGAAAATTAGTGTATTTTTAGTCATTTTTGAGAAACTTTTTTTTTGGAGATTTGTTCAGGAAATTATTGCTACAGTGTTCTACTGTGATCAAAAGTTGGCTTCCCAAAAAAGTTGATTTTTTCTCAATTTTAACCACAAAAATGGACATAGCTAAGTATTTTAAGGAAAATTAGTGTATTTTTAGTCATTTTTGAGAAACTTTTTTTTTGGAGATTTGTTCAGGAAATTATTGCTACAGTGTTCTACTGTGATCAAAAGTTGGCTTCCCAAAAAAGTTGATTTTTTCTCAATTTTAACCACAAAAATGGACATAGCTAAGTATTTTAAGGAAAATTAGTGTATTTTTAGTCATTTTTGAGAAACTTTTTTTTTGGAGATTTGTTCAGGAAATTATTGCTACAGTGTTCTACTGTGATCAAAAGTTGGCTTCCCAAAAAAGTTGATTTTTTCTCAATTTTAACCACAAAAATGGACATAGCTAAGTATTTTAAGGCAAATGAGTGTATTTTTAGTCATTTTTGAGAAACTTTTTTTTTGGAGATTTGTTCAGGAAATTATTGCTATAGTGTTCTACTGTGATCAAAAGTTGGCTTCCCAAAAAAGTTGATTTTTTCTCAATTTTAACCACAAAAATGGACATAGCTAAGTATTTTAAGGAAAATTAGTGTATTTTTAGTCATTTTTGAGAAACTTTTTTTTTGGAGATTTGTTCAGGAAATTATTGCTATAGTGTTCTACTGTGATCAAAAGTTGGCTTCCCAAAAAAGTTGATTTTTTCTCAATTTTAACAACAGAAATGGACATAGCTAAGTATTTTAAGGAAAATTAGTGTATTTTTAGTCATTTTTGAGAAACTTTTTTTTGGAGATTTGTTCAGGAAATTATTGCTATAGTGTTCTACTGTGATCAAAAGTTGGCTTCCCAAAAAAGTTGATTTTTTCTCAATTTTAACAACAGAAATGGACATAGCTAAGTATTTTAAGGAAAATTAGTGTATTTTTAGTCATTTTTGAGAAACTTTTTTTTTGGAGATTTGTTCAGGAAATTATTGCTATAGTGTTCTACTGTGATCAAAAGTTGGCTTCCCAAAAAAGTTGATTTTTTCTCAATTTTAACAACAGAAATGGACATAGCTAAGTATTTTAAGGAAAATTAGTGTATTTTTAGTCATTTTTGAGAAACTTTTTTTTTGGAGATTTGTTCAGGAAATTATTGCTATAGTGTTCTACTGTGATCAAAAGTTGGCTTCCCAAAAAAGTTGATTTTTTCTCAATTTTAACAACAGAAATGGACATAGCTAAGTATTTTAAGGAAAATTAGTGTATTTTTAGTCATTTTTGAGAAACTTTTTTTTTGGAGATTTGTTCAGGAAATTATTGCTATAGTGTTCTACTGTGATCAAAAGTTGGCTTCCCAAAAAAGTTGATTTTTTCTCAATTTTAACCACAAAAATGGACATAGCTAAGTATTTTAAGGCAAATGAGGGTATTTTTAGTCATTTTTGAGAAACTTTTTTTTTGGAGATTTGTTCAGGAAATTATTGCTATAGTGTTCTACTGTGATCAAAAGTTGGCTTCCCAAAAAAGTTGATTTTTTCTCAATTTTAACCACAAAAATGGACATAGCTAAGTATTTTAAGGAAAATTAGTGTATTTTTAGTCATTTTTGAGAAACTTTTTTTTTGGAGATTTGTTCAGGAAATTATTGCTATAGTGTTCTACTGTGATCAAAAGTTGGCTTCCCAAAAAAGTTGATTTTTTCTCAATTTTAACCACAAAAATGGACATAGCTAAGTATTTTAAGGAAAATTAGTGTATTTTTAGTCATTTTTGAGAAACTTTTTTTTTGGAGATTTGTTCAGGAAATTATTGCTATAGTGTTCTACTGTGATCAAAAGTTGGCTTCCCAAAAAAGTTGATTTTTTCTCAATTTTAACCACAAAAATGGACATAGCTAAGTATTTTAAGGAAAATTAGTGTATTTTTAGTCATTTTTGAGAAACTTTTTTTTTGGAGATTTGTTCAGGAAATTATTGCTATAGTGTTCTACTGTGATCAAAAGTTGGCTTCCCAAAAAAGTTGATTTTTTCTCAATTTTAACCACAAAAATGGACATAGCTAAGTATTTTAAGGCAAATGAGGGTATTTTTAGTCATTTTTGAGAAACTTTTTTTTTGGAGATTTGTTCAGGAAATTATTGCTATAGTGTTCTACTGTGATCAAAAGTTGGCTTCCCAAAAAAGTTGATTTTTTCTCAATTTTAACCACAAAAATGGACATAGCTAAGTATTTTAAGGCAAATGAGTGTATTTTTAGTCATTTTTGAGAAACTTTTTTTTTGGAGATTTGTTCAGGAAATTATTGCTATAG